CCTTAGTACCCCTGACAACGCTAGGCAGAAACTTACATCCCAAACAGTGGTAACCAATATTTTTAAAACCCAAGACGGAGGCTGCAAGGCGGGAACAAATACAAGGCGTCTCACACACAGTTACACATTTTATTCAAGACACTTCTTTTATACCCGTCATCTCCACACCGCCCTCTTCTTGCACGTTGCCCAATGGTTCACTAAAGTTTATACACGACAACCAAAGATGGTCAAAGGGCCCAAAGGGTCCAAGAGGCTAGGCTTCCTTATTATGCTGCCTTAAATGGCTACACCTTACCTTCATAACATTTCCCATAGGATTAAGAAGATGGCAGATAAATATAAAGGTCCTGTAGTCTTCTCGGCCTCTTCTGATTTGTCTTGATTCTGTGCTGCGATAAGAAAGAAAGAATTAATTGTGTAGTGTATGAAAGCAAACATCGTTTCAAATACGCGTCGCATTGATAGCCGGAGGTGTGTATAAAATCCTATTTTTTTGCGTTAAGGTATACATGGGAACGGCCGGTCGGTGCCTAACTGTATGAGCTAGTGAACACTCGCTGTCTTTAAGAGCTACGCCATCGGGTTACCTGGAATTTAATTACGATAGTGGCGGTTCTACACCCCTGTTTAAACGCATTGAAATATTGAACAGGCACCCAAAAATAACTAATAAAATTAATGAGGCATATTTAAGGACGCAAATTTTGCGAAAAATTTGAAGGCCAAGAAATGAAAATAGTTCAAATAAAACAAGTTTTTTTTAGCAGTTTTGGAAACAGTTAAAGAAACTGTCTGAGCAGGAATAATCCACCAATAATCTAAAAGATAGCAACAAAGGTCAATAACGGCAACGATGTTTTTGCGAATTCTTCCGGTGTTATATTATTAATTGTTTTATTGGTAATGCGAACTTCTGTCAATTTAGTGATTCCTCTCTGCTCATCTGGCAACTGTTAGCAGCAGAGATCCGATCCATAGGGTAAATACGAAAGAATTCAATCCAATCGACCGTACCACTTTAGTTTTGCGAACCCTCGTGCTCAACGCGCTAAGTTCTCGGAACTCGGGAGCGGCGTTTGCCATGATCTGTTTGAACTTTTCGCTGCCATGGTGAGACCCCGTTAAAATATATGAGTGAACATCAATGTGCCCAACAATGCGTAAAGACAAGCTGCATATCCATTTTGTTGTGTCAAGAACGAATTTCCAAACGCAGCCCGTTTGAGTCTTCACATCGGAGAACGCTCAAAGTGACCTCTGGACATTCGACCTACTGCAGCATCAACCGAATCGGAAAGATCAGAATCTGGACTTCTATTTTCCCCAAGAAAAAGGCCTCCGTTGGAAGTTGTGTGGCCAGAACGTCCACCGCCGGAAGACGAAAGCGCTTACTTTCAAGGAGCAGGCTGATAGTCCTATCAGCCAGCATACTTTGATGCAATCATTTGTTGGCAAAAGAACACTGAAGTGCCAAAAGAATAAACTGTAGTAAAGTGGTAAATATGGGCGAGTTGGTAATGATTGAACAGGGTTAAAATTGCGTACAAATACAAGGGAACAGGGGAGAGAGAAGAGGGAAGAGATAAGCCCCAACTCACAACTCGATGTATTGAAGGAAGAAATAAGGACAGCACACTGTATCAGCTCCAGCCGAGGCCACGCTGGCACCGGGGTACCCGAGAGCGCGAAGGACACACACCATCAACCACACTCATACGATTGCAGGAAAGTGATTTCCTTCTCCGTTGATGCCACAAAAGTTTGGCTGACACAGCGGCCGCCTAGGCGGAGTATGCTAACAGCTTCCAAAATTTCCCTATTGTGTTTTTCGTGGAATCTGCATATTACCCATGTTTTCTGTACATTGGTGTACACTTACACGCTTGACAATGCAGGGGTAGGTGACCCCGCACCGTGAAATTTAAAGAAAGGTTGTGCTCCCTTAACAAGCCATTAACACACTGTCTTGTTTGTCCTACGTAGGATCTAAAGGAGAATGCTATAAATCACACTGGTTGAAAAGATAGCTTGAGGATGGACATGTTTTGTGCAGTACCTGTGTTTTGAAATAATTTCTGCATTTGCTCAAACTTTAGAACAAATTTGACCCATTTTTTCGGGGGCTGACATCACTAAGGGGACTCCATACCTATTGGCGACCTGTTCAGGATTGTGAGAAATTCTGTGTATGTACGGAACCAACACCACTCTTTTTTTGTCGACCCTCTCCACTGTTTCTTCCTATTTGTGCTGAGTTTTAACCATGCCAAAAGAATCTTGGTGCGGCACTCGCGCGAGAGATATACAGGGTCTATCCAAAAAGTGTCGTCCGTTCGCGCCTCTGGTTTATCTTTCGAGACAGATAACATAAGTTCACAAACTTACATATTATTTTACTAGCGCTAGCTCCACATTATGAATAATCTTCAGCTTTCTGTTACGTGTAGATAATTTATATGAAACGGAAAACTGGGTTTTTTTGTTGTTTTTTTCTCACCAACCTGGCATTCAGAAGACTGGGATTATCATTCCTCCACTCGCTTTGTTATCTAAACGCAATGACAAAGTGCATGTCATGGCGCTTTTTGGTTTCGACGCAGCTATTACTTTTCATTTGGACGTGCGTTGCAAAAACTAGCTTAACAGGTTTCTTACTACTTGAATGAACTCATTGTTTTCTTACTTCTATGTCCAAGGGAAAAAATCGAAAAACCGTGCTTTTCAAAATTCTCGATCTTTTTCAGAGCCCTCGCATCCCTAGGCATATTACATTCGTCGACAGGATCCTGATGCTTGCTTTAGTGCAGAGTCAGCTACGATGAACAGTGAATGGTTTGAGTTTATTCGTAGAATGGGAACGTATATGTGTAAAAGTTGGGGTTTACTTCCCAGAAATTTTTATTTTGTTAGATAATTTGTAATACTTTTTTTTCTCAAATATTTGACTGAAGAAGTGTCCTGCTGTGAATGAGTATTTGTTTTTCTTTTTTTTTCCCGGTTCATTGCATTTATGTTCTAAATAAAAAAAAGCCGTGCGTCTGCGTTGTGTTTGTGTCTTTCGTACACTTATCCTTGTGTTGTTCTTTTTTTTTTGCGATGTGTTTTCTTGTTTATTGTTTTACCACCGTAAATAAGCCCCGGATTTTATTGGGGCACAACAAATACGTGTAAACATTTCTATATGAACTTAAATTTAACTACATTCAAGGAATCTATAAAAGCACATAATAGATCCTTTACTTTGGGAATCCATTCGAAATACACCTGTGACGCACAATGCGTGGCCCCGGGGAACCGAAAGCAGCTAGCACAGTTTCATCATTCGTGTAATTAACTAAATCAAGCTAAAAAAGCCACTTTCATTGAAATCCTAAATCCTAGGTTTTAAAACAAAATAATTACATTACAAAAAAATGCCAAAGTCGTCGATGTCACAGATGGCAGGATGAGTTGTGCGGTTTTCAACTTGAGCCGAAAGTAACATCATTAACATTTTAATTGGATCTTGCGGTGTTTAGATTTTGAGAGTGGCTACGATAGCGGCTGACACCTGGCTTTGATATGAAGTCCGAAGGGCTATATAAAGCTAGTCGAGAAGTGCACAGAAGTACGTACCTGGCATTGAAAGCTGGTCTGGAAGTACACACAAGTACGGAGCTCGAATACTTGCTGGCATTTTTTGCGGAGGTGAGCATCTGAACAACGCTTTGTTCCCATTTTCTTCTTTATCTCCAAAGTTGGGCTCTTCAGATTATCATTTAGTAAGCCATTGTATTATATAATGGCAAATTTATTATTCTTCTTGGCTAGGCCTTTTGGTGTTTAAAGTATCAAGTAATTTTTCATTAACGGTTGCGAAGACTAAAATTCATTTTGTATAGGACGTCCAGTTTCGTAGATACATACGATCGAGACGCTTTGCGCAGCAGTTGTTTAGGACTGCCCCTTTATCATATTTTAAATTAGACATTTTTGGTTTTTCGCGTATCTCGGATACCTATTTAAAAAAAAAAAAAACTGTATTCAGCGCTTCCTTCTCTTTCCAGACAACAAAACTGAGTACCACCTATATTTGACATAAGTGTGGCTGAAAGAATTAAATATATTCTTATAAAAAAAAATGTTGAGAATACAAAATCCGAAAGTAAAAAAAAAAAAATATTTTTTTTAATTAGATATTTTGATATCGTATTGGTTTTCAGCGTCAGTCTACCAGTCGCTAAAACAAAACGTATACGATGTTAAGTCAAATGGGTCGAAAACTACAAATTTCTCAGGTAAACTTATGAATTAAACTACTGCCATGCACCTTTAGTGTAATGAATATTGACTATCTTGCAACGACCAGAAATATACGGTTGAGAACTCAATAATATATGCTTGTTGTCGAACGATGACGATTATCATGAGTATCAAAAAAGTCTCGCATGACGGAAATACAAGTCTTAGAAAGTGTTACGTCTATCTAGAGCTTGATTATCGCGTTCACTATGCCAGTAGTAAATGAAATAACAGATTATCCCTCCTGTATACGAAATTGCTGCTGGCTCTTTCAGTAAAAGAAGTGCCTCGTATCTTCGTCTTATCATATAAACGTTTAGATGGCGTCCAACTAAAGAAATACATTTTATTATTGTAAAAAGCACCTGCGGCTCTGGAGTGCAGTCAGGACGTCCCTTTGACTGGTTATCCTACCCTTCCTAATAAATTCCTGGTTCTTGTATTTGAGATGATAACTGTCCTTCAACACTTCCGCGAATGAGGATCAGAATTATATTACGTGAAGCGTCTTCAGCTCCTCTAAAATTGTAATTATCATGATATTCTTTTTTCTAGAGATACGTAATTCACAAGAGACGTAACCTTGTAAACCAGTGTGCCTTTTGTATGTCATTAAATGAGAGGGCAATACACTGTCCGTAACATTTTTTTTTAAATTTTGATTCACTCGTTTTATATGTTGGTTTATTTTCAGAATTCGAATCTTGAATATCAATATGCTGCTATCTGGGAAATACTTGGTGGTCATCCTCGGTAAGAGGTCATTTTCCTATCTAGCAATGTTAGTCTGCATAACAAATATTTTAATATTAGTTATATATAACATTGCTTTGTTCGCAATTATAGGTTCTCACTGTTCAATGTCTGCGGAACGGGTATTTTTTGTACCCTTGCTGAAATAGTTATTCACTTTAACATATATTAAAATGACTCCCGTGTTTAATATTAATGCACGTTTGTTTTTATAGCTCGGCTTTCTCAATGAATAAATAATGTCTTGACATGCATGCAATATGGCCTCTGGATAGTAATTCACTTTAACGTATACAAAAATGACTATCGTATTTTAGTATTAAAGTTACTTCGTCCTTCTATCGGGTCTTCCTCAATTAAGAAATTTTTCGAGTGGTGCTTCTTGAGAAACAAACCTCTAAGAATATGTTTAAAAACATAAAGAAACTCACGCTACAAGCGTATCCCAGTGATAACACTTGAGACCCAGCTGCGACTGACATTCCAGATATTTTTCTCACTTTCAGTTTCAGCCATTATCCTTCATCATGTTGCCGGAAGACCTGCGGCCATGAGTGAAGTAAAGGATATCGAAACCTCAAAGGACTCCGTGGACTATGCTAAGCAAAGGGGCCTTGGTGCCAACTATGCTAAGCAAAGGGGCCTTGGTGCCAACTATGCTAAGCAAAGGGGCCTTGGTGTCAACTATTCTAAGAAAACGGCCTAGTCTTCGCGTGGCGGAGCATCTGAAAAGACTATGGGAATCTAGAATTTCCACCGTTCATTACTTCGAGTGATGCTTCACAAATGCATAATTTGAAGAAAGCATCTGCAATACAACTCATGGAAATAATAAAGGAGTTGGATACCAAACACTTTAACGTTGTTTTTTTTCCTATTAGAGGCAGCACTCACACGCTCCCCCAGCCATACCAAAATATGTAGCCGACAAATACGGTGATGAAAAGTCTATTTCATTAACCCAAGTTTTGCAGAACCTGAAGAAGTGCTTGTAAAGATAGATAAATATCACGGGAAGTGATAGGATTTCACAGCAGCCTCTATCCAGATTTGACGACATTCAAAATCACCCCAAAATTGTTTGTAACACTTGCCAGTCCCCCTCATACGCTCATTTCATGCGCATCCTCCTCTCATATGTAATGACTAACAAAAATGTGCACATATACTTGCCGTTTTTGTAATATGATTGCCATATCATATGATTGTTCTTGTTTTGTTTTTATTATTATTATTAAACTAGAACACCTCTGCATGAGCTTTGCGTTTGGATATGTGTTATGCGCTATCGGGGAAAAATGAAATGCGAACAGAGGAGCGCGTGGCTCGCGGTACAGGCTGCGCCGCCTGGAAGTGAGCCTAGGAGCGAGGGTGCGTGGCCTACTCCGACGTGTTCACGCCCCTCCCTCTGCGCTCCCCAAGCTTCAGCAGTGCGCCTCTGAGTGCGCTGAAAGCTATCACCGCTATCTTTACTGGCTCAGCGCGTGCGGTGCAAAGAAGCTCGCCGCACTCGCCGAGCAGGCAAAGATAGCGGTGACAGCTTTCAGCGCACTAAGAGGCGCACTGCCGAAGCTGGAGGAGCGCCAATCGAGGGGCGTGAACACATCGAAGTAGGCCAGGCACCCTCGCCCCTAGGTTCACTTCCAGGCGGCGCAGCCTGTACCGCGAGCCACGCGCACCTCTGTTCGCATTTCAATTTTCCCCGATAGTACACGTGCGTTAATTTTTCTGTGTCAAAAAAAATAAAAATTCTTATCTTGCTTCTTTTAGTTCTTTTTATAACGCCTCAGTACAATAAGATATGAGCGTAGAATGAAACAAAAATATTCGTAAAATCTTTAAAATATGAGCTCGGTAACGCAGCATGGTTTCAAATCGAGGCCCCAAATATACGGGCCCTACGCTTTAAAAGCTCTTCAATTAAAAAAAAAAAAACATCTAAAGGGTTTATTGGAACCTGGTTGTTAAAATAAACTTTTACTACGAAAAAAAAACAGCATATTTACATTGCTAGACGCAATTAAGGTGCAGAAGATGGAGTGCGTAGCCCGCTAAACCCCGTCCCATGTTTACACGCTGCTTACATCTCTAATTGACTGCAGAGATGATTGACGCGCGAAAGGTTGGTTGTAACTTTGTGTCTTCCTGTCGTAAAAGTATTCTAATCAACAGTGTTTTTCTCTTTGCAAAATTAAGAATGAGGATAGAGTCATGGTTGTTTTTAAATGTATTCTGAAATTGTGTCTCTCGTTTTGGATTGAAGCCATAACAAAAATGGCTGCCGGCGTCTGCGGACTGCTCAAACTGTTACGCTCGTTAAGCTCATCCATCTTTATGACTGCGAGGCGTTTTGTGCTCAAAGATGTGTTTAGGAAGATCTCCTGAACCGAAGTAGTTTGCAGTAGACGGCTCAAGTACGCGCCTTTGGAAACGCTTTGCGGGTGCATGGTTTCGAAGCGGGGCTGGCCTAAGCCTATAGCGCCACACATCAGCTATTTTGCTTGATCTGGCTTGATTTATTTCTTTGCGCGTGGTGATCCTAAAGAGAGAGGTTGGTTCCCTTCAAAGCAGACCCACTGCTCTTTCAATTTGCGCAACTGTCATGATTGCTACCAAGTTTTCAATACCGAGAAGATACCTACTCAGGCATGCTTGGGAGAAGAGCGTGTTAATTTAAGTCATGGATGAAGAAAGATTAAGCAATTAAAAGAGGGACAACACAACCACATCTTTCATGTGGTTGTGTTGTCCCTGTTTTAGTTGTTTTATTCTTTCTTCATCCATGATATACCTATAGTTGTGTAAAAAAAAGGTAAATATTGGCGTCTCTGGCACCCGTGAACTCACTCCCAGTCTTAAGGGTCACACCTGGTCGCACTCCTAGTGTCGTAATTCGGAATGCCGTGTAGCTTCCCGTGTGCTATCTCGGAGGACGCTTCCTCTCCCTCTCTCGGCTGACATCAGCGGGCGTTGTGCTGCAGCTTAGAGCCAAGCGAGGTCATGTAAGCTTGTCGCCGTAGTTCTTTCGGATGCCACCTGCTGCTGCAGGGGGGGGGGGGGGGGGGGGGGGAGCTCGACGTTTGTTTTGCGATTATGCAGCGGAATCGCGACTATTTTTAATGAAGGATATGTTTTTTTCTATCCTCCGGGACACGATAAATAACGTAAAAATGGCGAGATGCAAATTATTTTCATGTTAACATCGTTGCACCCCCCCCCCCCCCATTTAAAAGAGTAAATATAAGTCTTCAGCATAAGAAGTGGTTTCCGGAAATAATGACTTGCCGTGTTTGCGGTTCTAGCACGGAAAGAGTGCTATAACATGGCTGCAAAAAACCAACTGTAAATTCTTGTGCTGGTTGTGAGCAACAAAGCAAGGTTTTGTGTTGCTGAAAAAGAAAGAGCAAAATGGTGGAAACACCAATCAAAATATATAGTTTCACAAAGTGAACTTTAGCCGCGTAGCCCTGTATGTTCACGGCAAGTAACCTTCTACCTGCCAAAACTTTTAGGACACCGTGGCACTTCAGGATATTTCTATGCTATCTGCAGACATCTGCATGCTGATAAAAAAAGACTAACTAAATACCTTTACTTGTTAGTCGCTCAAAAAACATTGAAGTACTTTACTTGCTTACAAGATTTAAAAAAAAAGAAGGCGTTGCTTCAGCTCAAGCGTAGCGATTTACTTTCTAGTTGCTCTATATATATCGGTCTTCTTTTCTAAAGTAGTCGCTGCCTTCTAATTTATTGATTTATTGTGTCTTTAATAATACTTAGCTTTCTAAACACATCCATGTGCATGATAATCGGCGGATTGGTGGCCACATATGTTACTTTCACCGCAGACCGGAGCACCTGGATGGGAAGCTCTCGCTGTAGAATCCAGGGATTTGGATAAGCATCGATCTGGAAGAGCATCGCACTACTCCTTGATAGACGTTAAAAAGGCTAGCAGTGGTAGTGCACCGACTAAATTGATCATCTGCAGTGGAGCCATCAGGCGGCCACTAAGGCTAACTAACTTACTATTGCAAGCACTTATATTTAGTGAATTCCCACACCATGCGATATGTTGTTTGAAAAAAAAAAAAAAAACCTGGTGACTAGCTTTCCTGCGGTAGTAAGCATCTGGTACGCATTATGCGTAGAACTTTGACGTTAGAAGTAAAAAAAGTTATACTTACTTTGATTGGCCAACTGGTTGTTTACGCAATGTGTAAGTAAGATTCTGAGACCTGACGTTTTTCGTTTGACTTAAACTTTGCAGGTAAGTACAGCTGAGGCAACATAGACGACAGGGCGCGTATTACTCGTGTCGTAAATCTTCGCCCTCCCCATTTTTAGCGCTTTAATATTTTTTTATAGACAATCGAAAAGTGTACTTTCGTGATGCGACCGCGTTGGAAAAAAAGGAAAACGTAAGCTACATTGGGAATAAGCTGAAAAGGCGCGTCTGCGCGTGTTGATTCTCGCTTATAATGTCCATGATCGTACAGGAGTGCGGGGATAAACTTCGTCAATGTATGGCGCACAATACAGTAAAAATTGGAAACGACCATTGAGGCGTGAGGGCAGAGGTGATACTCACAAGCAAAAGAGCGTTGTGATTGTCATTATCTCCTTTGTCCGCGAATTCCTGGGTTATGTTTTGTGTTTTAATTGCCCCTTACACGAGGTCCCCTGAATCCAGCCCTTACCAGAGTTTTGACCCCTTAATAGCGTACAAATCTTTCACTGAATGGAAGCTACACAGGTGTATAGATATTCGTCACGAGATATTTTTTCGCGGTTTCTTGGTTCGCTTTCTTGCCAAAGGGAGAAGGAAATGAATTAAGGGGTTAACCGAACCAGCCTCGTAAAAGTTGTTCGTTGAAGCCTTATCCTGGAGGAGGATAAAATTGATTGCTATGAAGTGGAAGGAATATGTTAACCGAAAACTGTAGCGATACACTAAAGCTTTGCGCGAAATTTATTGTTCTTTATCTGGCGCTCTTTTTCGTTGACGTCGCAATATGCGTGTTGGGGTTAAAACCAGTGTGTAGCTTGTGCTTTGGATATTTCCCTCCAAAAATACCTAAATGCCACAACTCGCTCTATCAACAAGTAACGCAAATACGTTACTTTCAAAAGAAATTAGGCTGTCACTTCGTCTACTTTTAGTGAACTTCATCGTAACAAATGGCCGGGTCTGTTCGCCGGCCAAAAGGGTGCAATCTTAAATTATTTATTTTGTGGATGCTGCTTCACTGACAGATTTATGAAATGGGACAAAACCGAAACAAAAATATGTTAAAAAATGATCAGGTTCATTGTTGCAGCGGACCGCGTCGTAAAATCTAATTCGCAGCACCTCCGTACCTATATTTTTTGAGGTGTAACTTTTAATACGTATGCAAAAGGTTAAAAAAATGGCTTCTAAAACGTCTGGGTGACAATTTAGGCTTGTGATGCCGATGTAAACGAAGTCTAAGCTGATTGAGAGAAACTGTGTGAATGAAATACAAAAATCACTAAGCACCAAAAGGAAATTATGTATTTCTACTATGTTGAAAAAAAGTGGATTTATTAATAATGGATGCGGGAACAAATGCTACATATTGGACCACAATTCGGCTTAATGAGGCACCTGAGTATAACGACAGATATCTATGTGTACATTAGTGTTTTTTTTTATGAATTGTGAATCTTGGGCCTTGAGATAAA